CTTGGTGATACTGATTTATCTACTTTATATACTTACTTCGTTAATAATATATATGATCGCTAAATGGCCCCATTACCTGTCCTTTAGCAGGCTGCCCCTTTTCGTACTCTAAATCTCCCCATCTGAGTAATTGCAGAAGGACTGCCTTTCCCGTGACATTAGATTTGTGTTCACCTGTAACAGAAAAAGAGCCAAGACTAACCCCTTCCAGACCTGCTTTGGGTAAATGGCTTCAGAAGGAAAATCAGAGGGCTCAGCTCCACCTTCAGTATGTGTTGTAGTGGATAGAGTCTCTTCAGCAAGGGAATCGGTGATACAGACTGCTTTGGGGCACTGACACGTTGGCAAAGATCCCTTCTGTGCATTCCTCTCTAAAAGTAAGATGTCATCCAGAGCTTAGAGCCCCCTCTGTGCTGCACCGTCCTTAAAACAATCTGACTCGCATCAGTGGATTTTACAAGTTCCAACTGCACTTGTAGCTGCCTCATCACCATTTTCCCTGCAGAATTCCCCATAGAGGAAGAATTAGCAATGTTTGGTGAGGTTATCGGCATCAAGGGGTTTTTGAAGCAAGAGTTTAACCATGAAAGTTTGTGAAGACCCTACCTTCATTTCAGAGAGCAAAATCTGATGACTCTCAGTTCCTCTAAAGAATATGCCCAGTGCCTCATCCCTAAGTTTTCAATACCAATATAAGCAGGACAAATAGGGCATCTAAGATGAGATCTTCACTGAATATCAAGTGAAGTCATTTGTCTCATGGGAAGTCGTTAGAAAAATACATCTTTGCAGGTACTGTTTTGAAAGTATTGGTTAGGGCCCAGATCCTAGCTGCCAAAGGCGTTGTGTCAGTGCTAAGGAGCATTTTGAAGCCTTTCATTAAATCTTACTGTGTGGCAGTCTGTACATTTCTGAGAGTCCTTTGCAGCTTATGGAAAGGGTGGATTTTTAAGCAGAAAAATCATCTAAATAAAATATGGCATAAGAAATGTGGTAATCATCTCTAAGCGAAGAGATGTCCTAAAAAGTGTCGATATGATGGATGTGATGGCTAATTGAAGAAAAATATTTCCATTTCAGCCATAAGAAAGCACAGAAGAATCACGTGGAAATTCAGAGGTGAAAGTGTATCCCAGAAATCAAAAGATCAATGCCAAATCTGCAGTTTGAGACTCGTGATAAAAAACACTTTAGAGAAATGAACTCGTATTAAGCTAGAAGTGATCCATGTCATATCTTGAATAGTTTTTAACTTTAGCTTGAGTCAAAATATATCTTTTCTAAAAGCTTCCAATTTCAACCTAAGCTTCCATCATACTGCTCTTTTTTTTCCTTCTGAGTGATTGCTTTCACTATGTGCTGTAATTCTGGCCTGAAATTCTCTTCCACTTCCGACCATTAGACAGTTCAGATTTTCATTTCCTAAGGTGAAAAACCTTCCATGCAGGCATTTAGACTTGCTTCAAATCACCTCTCAACCTTCTGAAAAAATGAAATAGAACAGTCTTCTTAAATTTCTCACCATACGCCAGATTTTCCAGATTTCAGATTGTTCTTGTTCTCAAAACATTCTGCAGTTTACAGCACCCACTTTAAAATAATTCTGCCTTCAATGATGAAACCGTTTTCCCATTTCTGTTGAGTAGCTTTGCACCCAGGCTGCTTCATATTCAGCTGAATATCCATGATGATCCCCAAGTCTTTCCTGGAGACACTGCTTTCCAAATATGCAATTCCCAGTTCTTAAATACGTTACTCAAGTGTTTGATCTTGTATTTAGTTGAAAACACACATCTTTTTTAATCTGAGGAATGCAAGGCCCTGATCTATTGACTTGGACTCTTATATATCAGAGAAATTAAAAGGGTAACCAGTAGTGGTAACAGAGGAGTTAAAGAAAAACACCACCAGTTTGTTTACTTATGAATACTTCATACTCCGACAGATTTACCCAGTTGCCAGTTTCTAATTCCCATCACTGTGAGCAACATCATTTTTGTGGTAGCTGTAGGGAAGCATCCACAGGAGCCTGCACACCCATGAGTATCAGCCTCTCTGGATTCGAGCAAGTAAAGGAGGAAGATGCCCAGAACCTGAGCTGCCCTACACTCACTAGATCAGCTGAAACAGTGCAGTTGGCAGGAGGCATTTTGCGTACTCTGTGTTATTTCCATGCTACAGTAAGGAAATTGCCAATAAAGAGATTGTAACCTAAGGAATTTCTGCACTTAGAGCTACAGAGAAAAGCTTTTCTTTCAGGCAAAAGGGAGGCAAATCTCTTCCTTGAAAAAAGGTGCTAAAGGACAACATGATGGAAGTACATGTGCTCGCTCTCTCATCTGGTCTCTAAATTTGTAGCAAACACAGGAGGCTGGACAATGCCGGAGGCACAATTTGGGTGCAGTGTAGACAGTACCCTGTTAATGATACTGCTGCTGCTGGAATTGCTATTAAAATGAGACTTTTTTTTTGCTTAATGGTGGCTTTAAGTTTGTCATCAAAGCAAAATATTTTAGAACAATTTTTAAAATTCCTATTCAACTACTGAGTGTTGAGCACATGTTAATACCATTTTCTCCAGATATGGTAGTTTATGATAAATGTTACCAGATTTCATACTGTTTGTATAGTATGCTACTAAACATTAAGACAAATGGGCCCACTGAAAGGGTATTTCCTTTGGAGGACATAAGCTTCAGATCACCCATAGAATACACAGAAATAATTAAATATCAGGATAAAAAGCTAGACCAAAATGTTTAAGTCTCAGGATCCTAATGAATAAAAGATATTTTTAAAACAAAGAGTATACTTATAGGTGTTTTGAAAAAAAAAACATAAAGGCCACAACAGTATTTGGGAGAAAGGAAAAAAGAATACCCCATCACATTATTGTACTGTTTGAACATTTCTGAATATTTGTGTTCTGTATTTTTACTTCTGGCAAGCTGCAGAGAGGTGTGTGAAATGATGCAGAACTCTGAGGACCTGAGTCTTCATTCATATCAGCCTCTTGCTAGAATAAAAAAGTTATTTGTGGAGAAGTCTTTGAGAACTACATTGCTGTAGAAAGGAACTCACATGGCCTTGTGATTGAAAATATTTCTTGCAAAAATTGCAGACCCTGTTGTCCTGAGACAGAAAGCTCTAAGATCAATCTGAGTAACTTTCAGAGCAAACGGAGACAGAGCAGGATATACTTATGGCGGGTCTTACATAAAGCTTCTAGATACTTAAGAGAGAACAAAATTGCACCTATGTCCTATCTAAATATCAGATAAAAAACTTTCCAAAGACATAGATATTACTCGAGCACTCTATTTCTCCAGAAATATTTTCTGGAACAGCTTCTGCCTGGTCTGGTTATATACTACACAGGTAAGTAGCAAAGTTTCAGGCTCAGCCATCACAATCTCTTTAGCGAAAACATAAAAGTTTACTGAACTTGAAAGTATAAATCACTGAAGCTTTGGGTATTAAAGTAGCAAACAGGAGGAGTGTATTATTTAAAAGTTATTTTGTATTACTGGAGAAATGTGACCTTTCTCTGTAAAATCAGTTTTGAATTTTAGACTCAGCTCTGCAGTCAGTTCCCTGGTGGCCATTTAAGCCACTGTCCCTCCCAGGGGTTGTGAGGGAGTGTGAGGGTTGGCACGAAACAAGTGCTCCCCTCCCACACAGACGCTGCAGTCTCATGCTGAGGGGAAGCTAATATCTTTCAAATCTTACTGTTGAGAGGGAGAAAAGCAATGAAAGAGATAAAATCTCCCAAAACAGTCAGCAATTTAGTTGAAAAGGCTGAATTTCATCCACCTCCTCTACCTCACTCAGTAATTACAGAAAAGTACAATAGTTGCACACTGTAAATGTAAGGGTATAATAAACTTTCTTTTTAATATTACCTACTACATAAGGCCAAATCTTAGAAATGGATTTGTGAGATTAGAGCCCTGCATCTGCACGTGCCATATTGACTTCAGTTTTGAAGCGTTTAAAGGAACTCATGTGCTACTTGATCTTTGTACTGGTCTTTTGTATTGGAGCAAGTTTCCCTTGCAGCATGAAATGCAAATGTGATGTGTATTTTTCCTTCAGTGCCACCAAAACCTGGTTTTATTCATACTGTCACTAAAATAGTTTTTAATGGGGAGATATCAGAAAAGTCAAAGGCATTGGGAGAATTATTTGAAAAGTAAATGACCTAAAAAAACCCCCACAGTGTCTTTTAGTAACCTAATGATTCTGATTTATCCTGAAAATAATTGTCCTGGTAATCAGGAGGATGTGGTACAGAAAATGCCTGGTAAAATAGAGTACAGCACACTATAATGTCTTTTTTCTTAATAGAAAAAAATAAAAATAATAAAAAGGCTGTCAGTTCTTTTCAAAATCCACCCCTTCTGAAATATTTCCTTCATCTTTAAACTCTGTTTTCCAGATGGCTTTAAGCAACTGTTACTTTACAGCACATCACAAATTATATTAAGAAAGCATAATTCCAAACCGGTTCGATTACTCTGATTAAACAGAGAGCCATGTCAAGAAGGTAGCCTTTTTATATAATAAAAATGATGATAATAGACTAAGTCTCATCAGTCAAAAGGCTTTATTATTGTCTACTGCAGAAAAACGGTTTTGCAGCTGCTGAATGATATACCCCTAGCTAGTCACAATATACCTCATTTCCTGCTTAGATAACAGAAGATACTAAGATAAAGTGTGAAAGGAATAAGGAGCTGTGTGATATAGATATATGGAAGAATAAAAAATGTTATAAAAGTAAAAATGAAGTTCTGCTTAAAAACGTGTGTTTGAACTAAGTTTCAAAAGAGAAAACAAAGATCCCCAAGTTTCTGTGTGCTTACTTTGGATAGGACAGACTTTCTAATAAATCCAGGACCAAATAGGACAGAAGAAAAGACTGTTTACAGACTAAAATATGCTAAGACGTTCACAGCACCTGGCACAGCTTAAAACTAAATTGTGTTATCTTACTGTAGGTTCAGAAAACTGTCTTGAACAGAAGCTGAGAACACCTCGTCGACGATGTCAGCAGCCCAAAATGCTGAATAGCCCTGAGGACAACATGTACTATAACCAGTTAAACGTGAGTTCAAAGTGGCAATAAAGCTGTTTTACTGGCTTTGTTTCCAGTTAATAATTCTGTTATTAATACCTGTTTCAGCCCCTCCAGCCCCACCCCCACGTTCTTCTGCTCTCGTCTTGAACATGTGCTTATGCTCTTTATCTGTTGCTTTCATGTCAGGATGTCTGCCTTCACGGTGAATAATTGATGTGGTTTATCAAAGACGAGCAAGATGCATGCTTCATCAGGCTCACTTGAGCCCTTTGATCAAAAAAATTATGCTGTGACTTCTGATATTATCAGCATCTGCTTGCATTCAACACAAAATCACTTTGAATTAAAAATTAACGACTTGCTGCTTTGCTTTGACTGTGTGTTCTTGGCCCTCTCCACAGGGAACTCTAGAATATCAAGGGAGCAAGAGGAAGCCAAGAAAACTTGGGTAAATATCTATCTTCTTAGTTCTAAGCAACTGTAAACAGAAGAAGTCCTTTGTGATATTACAGAATATGCAAAACTTTCTAGAGAGGTTTCTAAAAATAAACAATTAACGTATTTCTGTGCATTGACATTGGACATTTTCTGCAGAAGCAAATGTAAAACTTGCATGTACTTCTAATTGCAGACACTAGAACTGATACTTATAAAATATGCTCCCCAGCTCTCTCCGAGTACTATGACTACAAAAAAGAATAGCTTTTTTCGTGTGTTTAAGTGCATTTAGCGCTAGTGAAAGGTGCCAGATGAAAGGTGTTGAAACTGAAGTTCTCTGACCTAGAACACAGACAGAATCCCTGCCAGCTCTGCAGCAACACACTCCCAGCAGGCTTCAGACCTTTAAGAACCGACAGAAAGGCCACTGAGCCCAAAAGGGAGTTGCTCCTTCTCCCTTGAAGTGAGTCAGTTCTCATTGTCACGTGAGCACTTATCACCTGGTGATAAGTAGAAATCACTGAAAACAAGTTACAAAAGCCTGAGTATTGCCAGAGTATTTCATGGACTCATCACATGGGCCAGAGAGAGCTGATGGATGCTTCGTCTTGCAAATGCATCTACTTCAAAAATTTACAAGAACTATCTGTATTAATTCCTCTGGTTTTAATTAATCTTCTGAATACAGCTCTATGAGTAAGAGGGCTTTGACTGAAGGTTAAAGACCACTGTTTTGCATGACTGCACAGGGTTTGGTTTACTTTATCTCCCGCTAGTTTTAAAAAGTCTGTGTTCCTGTTCAGGGAATAAAAACACTAGCATGGGACTGCAGTGCTCATCATACATCACAGGAAAATAAAAGCCTCTTGATGTCAGTAGGGCTTGCCCCAAAATTGGTGATGTAGTCTTTGGCCCATATTCACAGCAAACCATCAGCTGAAATATGATATCAAAATCATTCCTTATTTGTGAAACACATACAGACAAAAAAGCCACGTTGCTGAAATGAAATGCCTATTTTATGTAAGTAGTCAGTCTATCATTCTGTACACCCAAATTGAAAGACTACATTGCATTTCACTGATCCTCAAAACCAGAGTATAATCATAAAAAAGTAATAGCAAACTAAAAGTGTATGTAAAAACTGTATCTTTCACATCAAATCATCCCATCTTTTTTTCTTTCTTACATTAGTACTCATAGTACTCTTTCACATCCACAGAGAAGTTTCTAGAACGTATCGACAGACTTAACTTTTTACCTTAATAAATGTCATTTGTTTTCTTTCAAGCCAAATCAAAGTGCTGGACGGAGAGGATGAGTATTACAAATCGTTGTCAGCTGTTGAGTCTGTCCCTGAAGATGACAGCTTTCCTGGTTCCCCATCTCCTCCTTCTTCAAGAGGTGTGTCTTTTGCTGAAAGTTGAACTTAACTTATTTATTGGCTAATACTGGTAAGAATATTTTCGTGCTGGCAATCTCTTCCAATTAACTTTATGCCTGTGTGTTTATATAATATATTAAAATAAAGTTTCAGCTGGTAACTTTCTTTAATCATTTTAGACCTGGGTTTGCAGCTGTAAATTGTTGCATTTAGCTGTATTTCTATAAGCAGTTCCGGTAAAGGGGAACAGCACTACCTGTATGTGTGATGTTGGTAACGGACACTTTTCTTTAGCAGCAAGGTTAGTTCATACAGTTCCGACCCCTTCTTCCCTGCTCGCCCCTGGCTGCTGTTCCCACCCTGTGCCATCCCTTCTGTTGTGCTGGCACAACTGCTAGCAGAGCTGTGTGAAAAATAAAATCAAGGAACTGAACTGGATTAAAAGAACTCTGTACTTAAAATTTTCGTTTGGGGTCGTAGTGAGAATGTTTTGTATTTCATTAGACTGGTATTATTCTTTATAACTTTCTGTGTTACATATAGCTTTTAACACTACAAAACTGTACAGAGTAAAATAATCTGAAATAATAATTGTGTCTCAATTTACCTTGTAAATATTTTTATCATAAAATATTATTTACTGTAAGTTAATCTTGAAGAATTAATTCAAATGTAAGAAGCAAAGCAGTTTTAAAGCTAATGTTTCAGACGCTGCTTCATGTAGTCCTTGTGGCTGAAACCATCACTATGACTAGTTATTCTTGTCTATGCAAGTATTTGCATTCTTTCTTAACCCATATCTCTGTGCTCCAGTGATTCTTGTATCTCCACAGTCCTCTTGTATGTAGCAGGGGAAAAAAAATGTAACCTGCAAATTTTTCTACTTGCTTTTAGCTTTCTTTTCAAATCCTTAATGAAGCAGTGTGTAACTTTCTGTGGAACACTGAAATGCTTTGCTGGTAAGTGTTTTCGTGACAGAAGCTGACTATTTCACCTTACTCTTTACTTGCTGTTTCTGAGCCACAGTTTTGATCTGTGGCAATTCTTCACTTCTTTTTCATGGAAGCTCTTGTCAAAAACTTTTGGAAATAAAATGTTCACATGTACCGCCTTACAACTTTGCTCAGAATTATTTATTTCTTTTTTTTAGAAACCATGCTGATTAAATCTGACCATGTAATTATGAGCCTTGTTTTTATCTCCTCTCCAGTGGGTTCACCCTGGTCTGTGCTAACAAACCTTCTTCCTTTTGGGGGTGCAGTTTGCACCTGTTCCTTAAGCTACAGAAATTTTTATTCTTGGGGTTCACTGACGCCATCTTTTTGACCACAGGATGAGGAAAGATGACATAGGAAATGAGACCCAAGTGCAGTCAGGGCGTCCCTAAGCCGGAATTGGTTTCGAAAGGAGAAAAGGTAATGAGATAGATAGTTGAGCAAAAGCTCTGTCTCTTCTTATAAACACAGAAATTAAGTCAGGCAGGGCAGATGAAGGTAAAAGAAGGATTGCGCTGTTCCAGGAAGAACAGTCCTTTACTCATTCTTCACCCAAAATGTGACAAAAGGTAAAAATCTAGAAGTTAAAACGCTGCCAGAGATGAAAGGCATTCAGTTCACTCCTCGTTCTCCTCTGCTGTACATCTGGGTACTTTAGAGCCTTTAAAATTTAGGGAGTCCTCAAACAACAGAGAACTGGTGAACAGCTGCAGATGAATTAATAATATTCAAAAATGCAGTGCAAATACGAATGGCAACTAATATGAATGCTTGTGTGCAGATCAGTTTCTTTATATTTTGTCAAAATTTAAGAAGAATGAGTATTTCTTATAATATCTTATTTAAAAAATATAGCTTTTCCTATGCAATGTATAAATTCCCCAATAATTTGTAACGTATCTGAATGGAAGATAACATTATTATAAAAGAGTCTCTAGACTTATATTGGCATAGATCACATGGACTTCTAGTAATATTAATGCTTTGCGGTTCTATCGTTCCTTTTGGAAAACTCTTTGGGAAACTAAAGTTTTGATATTAGTGTAATTCATATCATTATTATGTACAGTTAATTAATCACTTTAGTTAAATGGTAGTGAGATTTCCAGTTAGTTATTATGTCACCTGTCACCTGTATTACACTGAGTAATACATTACTCTTAGTAGTTCTATTAATTTCATAAGGAAATAAGAGAAAGTAAAAAATAATATATAATTCAATGAAGCCCTTAAGCCAAAGCGTAAGTCCCACTGAAATCAATGACATTTCAGCATGTAAGTGCTTTGCTGAATGTGAGGGACCAAATTAAAAAGAGCAGCTTCAGAACATTAGTAAAGCACAAGCAAAATGCAAACACTCCTTAAGTATATTCCTTAGATTTCTTCTGAGTTGTTAAGCTTAAATCAATCTCAGCTCTCAGGAATGGACTTAAAAGAGATTTTAAGAAGTCTTTAATTGTGTGGAAAGGGTAAAATACAGTCTTTTCTTTGTTAGATGGAGTGCCGCTATCTACATCTGCTCTAATTTTTCAAATTACTTCAGTGTTGCTAATATTTTTATACTGAAATTGCTGTTGAGTAGTGTGTTTTCATTCTTGCTACTTCTTGGCTAAAAACTGTGCACAAAGCCAGCCTGTGCATTTTATTATTTCATAACTTATCTCCCTTTCCTCATTTGTTTTTGATCAATTCACTTTACCCTCACCGAATAACCCCTGTGAGGTGGCCTTCTCTTATCCTCATTTTAGAACACACGTATGCCTTTAGATTATTAAAAGCCGTGTCCTCAGCTTGCTGTAGAGCCATGCAGTCACATTAAACCGGCCAAACAGTTGAACTTCTGTTCCACACTTATGGACGTGTGTGAAAAAACAGTACAGGAGACATGTCAGTGTGATGATCGTGGTCAGTGGGAGCGTATCAACATGAATGGCTTAGATTTTCTTGTTTGGCTTTGATACCATTGAGGCATTGTACTGATTTATTTCCTTTCATGTATATTATCCTGAAATATTAATGTATTTTGCTTAATAGTTCATAACATATCCTGTTCTTAATATTTTATAAAAGCAAAGAGTTTAAATCCTGTTAGGAAGAAAATTTCTTAGACAGTGCTAATATATTAAACAGGTTTTGGCAGATGGGAGAGAAAAGAGTGAAGCTTAACAAGGGATTTTAGTAGATTTCTTCAGTAGATCTCAATGGCACTAGAAACCAGTTCTTGCTGAGCACACTTTTTGCCTTTCAGTTATGGCAGCTTAAAAACTTTTCTCTGCACCAACAAAAATCAGGCAGGGAGCTTTGGAGATTAGCCCCTTTCATTTGGTAATTTTAAACGTGCTTCACACTTAAAACATTTACATCACTTTAGTAACATAAAGGGACCTTAGAATAGGAGTAAATTGCAGCCATCTTAAATTTGCCCCCACTGTGACCTCCCTCACCCATACACGTAAGAGTGGTGGAAAGGGCTTTTGTGCACTGAAGGTCTTTCAAGTGGCCCCTATCAGGTCATCCAAGGAGTTGTTGTTACTTAGAACTTTATAAAATATGGCTGTACCTCACGTAAAACTAAACACTTTGCTGAGTCAAATCAGGCCAAAAGTTGATTTTCCTTCTGGTCGTGACAATCAAACCCAAATTTCTCAGTCGTATGTACAGAAAGTAACCCAGAGTGGACATCTACAAAGTCATCTTCCTGAAAGGAAAATTTTTTCCCAAGAGTAGGCAACTACTGATAGTAGTACGTCATTTAGCATAGTTCCTAATATAAGCATAATGCTTATATAATAATATACTTTTATTTTTCTGTGTTTTATGTAACGGAATGTTTATAACCTCCCAGCAGTTGTCTCACGGTGTTTTATTTTCACTAAGTTCCTGACTTCTGGTACACTCTGGGACTAAACACTATACACACCACACATACGCATGCAAACACGAAGTGCTTCAGGTTTAAACAAAAGGAATGTATTTAAATGCAGTCCTTTTTAATTGAGCTGGAGGCCTTCTGACTTGTGCTGTCAGAGGGTAGAAGGGAGCTACCAATGTACTTTCTTTATACTACTTTTTGCATAACCTCAGTGCATTTCTCATTCAATGTAAATGGTTGCACACTATAAAAAATTGTAAGGAATCTCCTAGAGTTGCTATTTTCTGTATTTAGATCCCTTCAATTTTTCTATATTTTGTTTAAAGAGTTTTAATGGGATAATCGCTAACCTTCATTGTCATAACCAACATCCATGGTTGTGAAGGAATGGGGTTTTTATTTCTATGTTCTGTCATCATGAAAAACAGGTATGGGTTTAAATATAGATATTATTAATAATTCAAAATAAATAAGAAAATTAAGATATGTAGTGTCTTTAGGTCTATTCTTATTTGATATTGAATTTAATAATCAGTAGAAAAGAGTGAGTTTCATATACTTCATTGTGTGGTTGTCTCTGATAGTGCAAGACGTATGCCTAAAGCCTGCAGCTTTTGTACACGATGGTCTCTTCAGTATCCATTGAACTTTGCTTGATTTCATGCATATGAGGACAGATGATCAAATCTCATGTTTTAGAACTCAGGTGCATCACTATAAGTAGAGTTTCTTATTCAGTGAAAATTAGGAAGTACGTACTTTAGGAAAAAAGATACATGACTTCATGGAGAGGAAGCAGGAAGGTAGATTTGTGGTGGAAGCAAATGGCTGGAGGTCAAGATACCTGTGTAGTACTACTAGTTGTTTTACAACAATTTTAAGTTGATGTAAAATGGGATTTAAGTCCCAATTTTAAAAGTTCACCTTTTTTAAAACAAGTAATGTTATAATTTAATAACTTTTTCCTCCTTTTGTGAGAATTGTAATTACGTGGGTATATTGCTTTTTTACTTTAAAATAGTTAGCAATGAGATAAATAACTGAAGTCTGCCATATTCTCATTACTCATTCTTTTTTTTGTTTGTTTCCTCAAAATGGAAGAAGAATTTGAAGAGACAACCAAGCTCTGTCACTTTTAAATGTGTTCTGGTTAACCAGATAGATGTAGTGCATACAATTAAAAATAAAGTCTTATGGCACAAAAAGTATCATCATCCTATAAGAAACAGATAAGTAGCTTTAGACCTGATATGTGCACAAGACATGGCATGTAATAAACTTATCCATCCTGCTTTTAACTCTGACAACAGAATGTGAGAAATAATGTCAGTTTTGTTGTTAACACTAGAAGTACGTTTTGTCAGCGTGCCTTTTCTCTAAGACTGTTTCACCCTGGGAGGAGTTGTGGCAGAATGCTTAGTTAACAAAAAAATGTTTCTGCCTGACAACAAAGCGGGACTCCCATGACAAAAGTAGCACAGGATGCTGTGAAAAACAGAGGCCGGGGACCAGTCCTCTGGGGCAGAGCTAAAGGTTACAGAGCTCGGTGAGAGGCTTTGTGTCTCCCTCCTGCTGGGCACTGCAACTGGTAAGGGAGGAAGCCGACAATTCGTGATAATAGCACACTGTGTCTTTAAACACGGGCTGATGTGCTAACTAGTCGTAA